GGGGTGTAGCTTCTGCCTAAGCTGCTCCTGCAGACCTTCCAGGAAATACACTTAATCTGGTCAGTGTTACCTAGAATTTACAAATGCATTGGTCCATTTGGGACATGATTTGCTATGTACAGAGTGAGGCGTGTTTGGAACACCAATTAAAATGACTACTAGAAATTGTACCTGCAGTAGCATAATTTCATAATAAAATAAAATAAATATAAATCTTTAAATCAGATTCGTATTTTACCGTCCCTGAATGTTCCTGGACAGTTTGGACAATGAATGATGAGTTTTTTTTAGTCATAGTTGAACAATCTTGCTTGCTCCCATGTAAAACACTGTAAAACACAAAAAGAACAAATAAAATAAACATTATTTAAAATTAACTTGCATTTATGCACAACACAATGCAGCATATAGTTATACAAGTATCCCAACCAAGTTTGAGAATGGCCGCCAAAGGTTAGCACAAATATCACTACCTTAATCCTTTTGGGTGTGGAAAATCTCATTCATTGCCAAAGATTAGCATCAGTGTTATACTCATAGACTTAACAAGGCTGATGGAAAAGTTTTCTGTTAAAAAGATGTAATTTGTTGCACTGTTCTGACCAAAATATTGGAGTCTTTAAATAAAAAGACATTCTGAATCATTCTAGGTGAACAAGAACAACAGGTAATGAACTAGTAGCACCATGCTATTATGACAACATCTAGGAGTGATACCATGTAATCCACAAGCGCCCTTCCCTGCAGGCACTTAAAGACTTTGACCTTTTGCACTCTTTTGCAATGTGGTTAATGCAGATTACAATGGTTTGGACTACTGAGAGCCTTCCTGACAGCTGCTCCCACCTCTCCCGGTCCACATGGCTGTAATTTAGCAGGCTGGCCGGACAGCTTCTTTCTGGAAGCTTTGAAGCCAAGCCAGTGGAAATTAGAAACTTTGTCGTGGAGATATAAAAATGATAATAAAAGAAAATGTAGCTCTTTATCCTCACGCGTCTCAAGTTGAGATGAAGAAGACAAGAGCCGGAGGCTTTGAAGGGAATCAGGCAGCCCAGCTTGAGACGAACGTTGGCACTTCTGCCTTTCTCTGCCACCGATTTGAGCTTAAGCAGGATCAACTATCAAACTATCGTAAACAGGTTAGCCACATAAATGTGGCTGAAAATCAAATGTGATTTTCAGCATCTACAACCTCAAACTGCAGCTACAGTTGCTGTGTTGGTTACTTTTTGTTGCTGCTTTCTTACAATTGTGGAGTTAGTTAGGGGTTAGAATAGCAGCAACGGTTATTTTGGACACTTTCCAAGCCACAGGATTTATTATGCCTTGTCAGTGAATCGTTGTGTGTATTGAATATATTCGCTCTAAACTAATTGACCAGTACGGTGAGAGGCGCTGAATTAGGCAAATGGGCCCAGGATGTGAAGTTAGACTTGATTTATTACTTTGAATGCAACTCAAATCAATGGCTTAGTTCCCCAAAAACCATTGCATTTCCCAGCTGAAATCATTGTTATGCTTAAGAAAAGAGAGATTATGCAGCCTTAATGAGTTTCAGTGGTTGAATGTGTTTGTGTCCCATTCAGGGGCGAAATCATATTTAATGGCTGACACTCAGTTCATGGCAGGTCCTCCTTTTTCTCAGTGGCAGGTCACCTTCGTCAGTGGGAAGGCCCATTCAAAGGGGAGGGCCAAAGATAGGGTTCTACATTCATGAAAAGAGGAGCACAAATGCCGTGCATGAGAAATGAAATGGGAGAAAAGCAGCTGATTTGCACGCAGCGCTGCAGCTCAGCTTAGGGCTGGCTATAGGCCCCAGCCGGCTGACCTCACTGTGCCAGACTGGGACCTCACTTGTTTTGGGAGATGCTTTTGTTTCTCCAGCTTAAGAAGAGATCTAATTTCATTTGGGTCTTGACAGAGCAGTCGCCGTGGCTTCTAGATAAAAAAAATGTTGCAGGTCATTAATAAATTAACATGCTCATTCTTCTGCCTCCGTCACAATGTCCCAAACAACCACACTTGTATGCTAAGCAGCGATAATTTTTCCAAAATCTATTCAGGCTTGTAACGCATAACAGTTATAGTATTTTCTTGTCAGAAATGTATAAAAATGTTTTTAACACAAAAAGCAAATTTCTCCATTGAGAACCAAAGACTAACTGTGATTCATTTATGTTTTATACTCTGAAAGCTTTCAGGTGTTCTAGTTCCCTAAGATATAAAATATGCCCTTTAAAAACTGAAGTTGGAATAATTCATATGAAAAATGTTATGAATGATTCCTTTTAGGAGAATTAATACATTATTTGTGGTAAAGTTTTTTTCTCTATACAAAGCTTTTGCTGCACCGTGGAACCTTAATCATGACCTTTAAAAGTCAAAAATGTTACTGAAGTGCCACAGACCAAGCATTAAACACCAGGATTACTGCTTGGAATTAGCAATGAGCTCAGGACTTACTTGATTGATTGGTTAGGATTTACACAGAACCCCAAGCCAGTTAGCTTTGAATGTTGTTGCACAAACAAATACATTACTATATAATAATCAATGGAATTGTTGTAATCTGACTCGGTGTCAGTGGTGATGTGCTCCTAGTTGGAGCATTGCATTAGCATGAGGAGTTATGAGATTAACAGTCATTGACTGACAAATGAAAAAAGACCATCTCAGCTTATTCCACTTTAATAAGCATTGAATCCACTTTATTGATTATTCACTGCTAATATGCAGTAGCAGAAATCAATAGGCAGTCCAGCTTTCATTTCAATATAAATCCAATTATTGCTATTGCTAAAGCTGAAGAAATTAGAGGGGAAATGGACTGGCATGTTATTTCATCATTTGCCCCTCTATAATGACTTCAGAGGTAGACTTTATTCAGTAAAATCACAACATGTACTGAGTAAATATTCTTTATTATTATTTATTGGGGGTGTGTGCCCAGTGTAAACTTACAGTGACCTCAGAAGTTAATTAGTTGTCATGAATCAAACTTTATTTGCAGGCTTTTATGCAATTCAATCACTGATTCAGTCAAACATCATTATAAACTAACAATTGTATTTAATAACTCTGCACTGAGCTTCATTAATATGCTCTGGATTTGACAGTTCTTCTCATGGAACAAGCAGAAATATTTCCTACATTCCTCAGAAGGCTTTGTTAATCCTGCTTAAACCGCCTTAATCACCTGGTCACACATTAGGGTGTTTGGTTTTTCCAAATCATTTCTAGTTAGAGAGAGAAGTGAGGGGGGCAGAAAGAGACATCATTACGCTGTAATAAAGCATCCATATGGTGTAAATGTTGAGCTGGTGCAAATCCCTTCAGCTTAGCTGCAGAGCACCCTGGCAAGAAAGGTCAGGAGTGACTGCTTCTCGCTTAAGCATATGTTTCCGTTTTGTGCTATGTACATTTCTGAAGCGATGCTGCAACTGAGCACTATTAAGGTCAAACATGAGATTACAGTCGCAGGTTGATAATTAAAAAGATTGTTTTTCAGAAATTCAATTCAAAAGATGAAACTCAAATAATATTCTGTATAGATTCATTACAAACAAAATTACATTTTTCTGTTCTTTTTTTTTTTATATAATTAGGCTTACTAGTAAAGTAAATCCAAACTTCAGTTTCTCCAAAACTATCAATAAAGCACTGGACTTCAATATTAAAAATGAGTAAGGTCCATGTCCTGCTGGAAGGTGAACCCATGTCTTAGACTCAGGTTTCTTGCAGACTTTCTTCCATCATTGCCCTGTATTTTGCAGTCCTGCTTAGTTCTGATCAGTTCCCTTGTCCCTGCTTAACAAAGCAACCCCTCAGCATAATGCTGTCGCCACCATGTTTCACTCTCAGGATGACATGTTTAGAGTGATGGCCAATGTCAGATTTCTTCCACACATTACATTTTACAAGGAGGTCAAAATGATACATTTTGGCCTCGTCTGACCAGATTATCTTTTTCCGTGTTTTTACCATGTTCATGGCTGCAAATAACTCTTACCATAACTTTTTTTTTAGCAATGACTTTGTTATTTCCACTCCTCTGCCACCTGGGATATTTTCTTACATGCAACTCGTGCTTTAAATGTCTCCACAACTTTATCTTCTTGCTCCTTGATCTTAATTCTCTTTAGGCAACAGATATGAAATTACACCTGTGTGAACTTTTACAAATTTATTATGTAGTCTAAAACATAAAAGGGACATGAAAGATTGGCATTTTTGCATTTGTAAAAAAAAAAAAAAAAAAAAACTATATTAGACATGTTTTGGTCAGTCACATAACATCCAAACAAATGACTTGTGGTTGGAACTGGACAATATTGTGATCTGTCTCTGTTTGCATATGATTCTTTCTATTTTACACTGAGAATATTTTTGTTATTGTGTTTTGTGTGTTTCTGTGCTTCATGTTGAATTTCTTTTTTCTGTTATGTTCAGCTCTTTGTGTATTATATATAAACTCTTGTTTTAGTTTTAATCCTTTTCTCCTTTGATTAATAAATCATTTTGTGACAGAAATGGCAAAATGAACAAAAACAAAAGTTCAAAAATATGAATCCTCTTTTGTGCAACAGAAATCCAGATTGTTCTTTATTTTTTGTCCTCCGACACTTGAACACTGAAAACGTCTCTGCTATTCTGTAAGCACATCAGCTGAGAATATTACATTGTTACGGAAGCACAGCTTCTTAACATTGCAGTGAAATATTCCTAAGCAGTTTCAGCCTTACGTGTTATTTCAAAAGTTAATGTAAAGCATTTCGTGATGGAGTTTAAAACCTACAATTAATACCCACAAGCGTGGTTGCAAAGTAATGAGTGCCTGCTTACAGGACACTCAGACAGACAGGGCTCGACAAGTGGGTGGAACAACATGAGGTAGTCATTACATTTAACCCTGTTTATCATTGACACATACTCGGTGTTTGAGTTTGCTCAGATATAAACCAGCAAATCTCTCCTTAATCCCACTTTCTGTTTAGTTGCACACTGTCCTCTCAGGTCTCCTAATAATAGCTTTGTCCATAAAGAACAGCCGTCAGAGCATCGGGATGTAAGACCGTGCCGCTGTGCAACTGTCACTGTCTGTTCATCTTGGAGAAGATACAGAAATTGTCCTCATACATTTTGAAATGTGTTGCTGCCCTCGGCTTAAAGGCTCAGAAAGCCACATTATTCTACGTTGCATTGGAATATGGGAACAAAACTGGAAGCCCTTACTTTCACCCCCTCCCCCCATCCGAAATCTTGTACTTTGCCAAATCCTTTTAAAGTAGACAGTAGTCACCGTGGTCCCGAAGGCTCTGCCCCTAATTACAGAGGAGCTGTAATTACAGAACCTGGATGGAGCGCGAAAGAGAAGAAAACCTAAATCCAGCTATTGTAAATGTATACTGCCTTTTGATGATACCTGTTTTCCTGCACTGAGAGGTGCAAATAATCACATCAAAAAGAACAATGGCTGTGCACCTGCCTCTGATGCATGTGTCCACTCACATGCAACTAAACATTACGGCTGCCCGCCCCCGTGCTCCCAACATTCACCTTACAATAATACCAAGGGAACCTAGGAGTATCCACTCTTCTGCTAATGATCAACTTATTAAAGCCAAATCTGGGTGGTGCTGTTTACTAAATACCTACAAGAAGACATGGCGAATCACTGCTTCCTCAGAAGATGCACTTGTTTTTAAAGCATCTGTTTTCTCTCACATTTGCTGTTTAGTAAAGTCAAACAAGTGGATTTTCTGTTTATATTTCGGTACTCGCAACAAATGAAAAAATTGCATATAAATGTTCCGAGAGCGTTTATCACTGAAAAAAATGTCATTTAATTAAACCAAGTGAATACACGTTGTTTGACATTTGAGAAAATGTCATGTTTGTTGCTTGCTTGTTGTGTTATGCTCTCATCATATAAAGCACATTGAACTGCAGAAATGGAAATAAACTGGCCTTACTTTGCCTCTGCGTTTGAAGTGAGCGCCGCTCGGCTTTCATTTCCTGCCCTGAGCACTTGTTGCTCATGACGTCTCTAATTAAGCGCCATGCTGAGTTTCCCATAGAGCGACTGGCTGCTCTGCTGATGTTTAATACCCACGACCAGACATGACGCCTCATTGACAGTGGTATGGTTCACTGGCTTTACATTTACCCTGAAATGTATACTTTCAGGTCACCCTCTCAGGTGCAAAGTACATCTGACTAGGTCTCTGCATGTAAACCGTACTTCTGTGTTAATCAAACCCAGCTGCAGACATTTATTTAACCTCTTATAACTTTATGACATTATTACGAAGTTGTTTTAATATGTTAACAGTGGAATCTGCAAAGTTCAATGCTCTTAAAGCTTCACTAAATATGTGAATCTGTCTGATGTGAATCTGTTCCAGCCTTGCCTCCAGAGAACAGCTACATTTAGCCACAAACAAGTCAATAATCTCCTCTGTTGAAAAAAAAAAAAGTTTAAAAATAGATTAAAAACCAAGCATGTTTTGGTAACTGCTTTTTCTAGTTATTTGCTTTTCACCAAAAATACTTGATGGGTTTCTTGCCACATGAATTTCATAGCTCTATGAATTTACTGCTGGGGCTTCAGGCTGAATGGGACTTTTCAAACAAAGGTCAAAGTAGACGACTTAAGTGGGTCTGGGTTGTGTGGCACAGCTGGAAATAAGGCCCTGGGATTTTTAGTGCTTTATGAGCCCGTTGTGAAGCTGATAATGTGCATTGTGGGAGTATATTCTAAGGAAGAAGAGGTTAAAGACTATGGGAGGAGATCAGCAGCTTGGATGAGGAGGTTTAGTGGTAAGCAAATCATTCCACCAATATTGCAAACAGACAGAAGACTTACTAGATCATTAAATTTATGTGGTAATGAGACTGGGAAAGCTTTGTCAAATCATAACTGGTAAATACATTTATTAAGACTGGATATTTGCTTTTTGTTGCATACAAAACCCCAAAATCTATAAACCGGTCCCACAAGGCCATAGTGTTTCACAGATTTAACAGTGTTTTGTTTCTGCGTCAGCCAGAGCCCAGTGTGTGTAACTGTTTCTGTCATGGCTGACAATTTGATAGGTTTTCACACTTTGGTTTGCCAAGGCTTCCCATTTTTCTCCTTCTCCCCATTTCCGGGCTAAAGCCAACCCGAGGTTTACAAATATTGAGCCCTAATCCTCGGGCCTCAGACAGCGGGGCCTGCTGTGTGGTGCTCAACAAATGACTGAGTGTTCATGAGCGAAATTAGTTCAGGGAGGCCTCTGTTTCCTCTCAATGTTGATATAGGGGCAAATAAAAAAGCAGCATAAATGTGGAGTCCCACTTCGTGAGAGCCTCCGGGCCCTGCCACTGAAATAAAGCTGAAGGCTGAAGGCTCAGTGTATTTTCAGAATAAGCACAGTTATGATGGAAGACTTGCCATTCTGTCAATACCTTATAGGCACATATTCTTGGAAAGCTGCTGTGAAGGATCAACATGCGTTGAAGAATCTAGATTTTAATTCAGTTTTCCTCACCTTCTGTCCTCAATGAAAATTTAGCCGGACCTATTTAACTTGTAACATACTCTGACAGTTAGCCAAGTGCCAGAAACGACCTCTTTGTTATTAATGGCTCTCATGTCTCTAATTTAAACAGCGGTATTTAATTCTGTTCTGGTCATAAACCTCGGTAAGACAGTGAAGCTTGTCCAGATATTGGAATGCTTTACATTTGACACACTTTTAATCCACAGACACTGGCTAGCACCTAGCTACAGCTCATGTTTTGGAGATAGTTGGTTCCTCCCCCATGTGAAACCATCTGTGGACCTTTGTTTTGTTATTTGTTTGATCCAGGCATGGGATACATGGCAAGGTTGCACGCTGGGGGAGTTATGATGTTTTTGGTTTCCTGATACTGTATGTCCTGAACAATGTGTGCCCCGAAAATAAATATTAATCCATGCGCAGACTTTGTTCCCACCCAGCCGCTGTGTGTGTTTGTGTGTGAGTGTGTGTATGTGTTTCTGTTTCTGGACCAGACCCAGCTCTAGCCCCATTATCTCTCTGTGTCTTTGTATGTGCTGATTTATTTCAACAGTGCTCTTTCGGCCAAGCGCTGGGTGCCTCCTCTTTGTCAGCTGCTGTGTGAACGCAGAAGCCTTTGACCACCTTTGACAGTGTGAATATTTTAGCTCCCTTTAATATGCAGCCTAAACTTTTTATGTAAAGATGAGGAGTTGGAAGGGGGTATAGAAATAGGACAGGATAGCAAAAGAGTGCCAGGGTGACGTAGGAGTTCAACAATGATGCTATAAATTAAAGGGGGATGAAGAAAATAATGTGTGTGTGTGTATATATATATATAATATACATATATATAAGATGCTTTCACCTCATTATTTATTGTGACCATTTTTCATTTACCGCAAATAAATACTAAATTTTTGCTTGAAATTTCAGAGACATGTTGTCAATAGTTGATAGAATAAAAGAACAATGTTAATTTCATTCAAACGTTTAACTATAAAAAGTAAAATCCGATAAACTAATCATTTTAAGTGGCCTCTTAATTTTTTCCAGAGCTATATATATATATATATTATTTATTTATGCACCATTTAACATTATATATAATGTGAAAATGGTGTTTTGAGTGAGGCAGTTACTTTTGCCCTCGTCAGTCCAAGCTACCTATTTTTTCCTTTTTTTTATTTTAAACTTGCTGTCCCTTATCTAATAAGTTCTATTCCAGGATATCTCTGTTTTCAGCTCCATTCATCTACACGTCAGTTCAAGGAAACATAGCTTTCAGGGAATAAGCAAGGATTAAGCAAATATTTACTGAATCATTAGTGAAAGGTAAATCCAGGGATCAAAACACGCTGGAATATATATATAAAAACAAAGCAATTGATCATTTTGCTGTAAATGACAGGATAACAGTCTATGCCAAGTTTTTTGAAAGTATTTACTCTGGGGCATTTACTTTTTATCTGTTGTACATATTTTTATTGGAGTTATAGTGAGTTTGCCCCTTTTTGGTAAACAAACAAAACCTGTCCAGATGAATTTTTCTCCCTGGTCAGAATAACTGAGAGCTACCAGGTTCTCTGGGATCCGGGCTGGCTGTGAAGTTTCAAGAATTACTAAGTTTTTGAACAATGTTGTGGTGAAACTGTGGAGGATATGCCTGTTGTTCTAAAGAGGACAAAAATGCAAGATGCAGAGACAACAGAGGCAGATTAAATAAACGAAGTTCAAAAGAGGCACTAAAAATGAAAAGAAAACAGAAAAAGGGAAAGCGACTCGGCACCAGTGAAGTCAGTCAGAGACAAGAAGGATGGCTGAATGTAGAGTGACATACAAACTAAACTTAGTTGGACTGGATAAGGTTATCATGAAAAAGTAAAATAAAAGTCACTTATTTAAAACGTGGAATAGATTAGCAAAAGCAAAACCTGCTGCACAAAAAAAAAAAATAATAATAATCGTTCATTTCAGAATGAAGGAAAAGACCTGCCAGTTTCGTGGGATCATACTTAAATCTTTTGTGCTCTATCCCAGCTGTAATTTATTTATGTTGTCAAGTTTTCCCATATGTTTGCTCAGCTTGCAAGACGCTGAAAATAAAATCACTTCCCTGAACTGTATGTTTGGCTGGTTCATTCTAAACTAAAAACATTTTTTTTTTCTTTCATAGCTTTGACCTCACAAATACACGCACGTCATCCCGCTGTGAGGAATCAAAGTTCAGCTGTTGGGTTGCTGATTTCTTGGAAGTAGTAGTTGGAGTCCAGCTCCAGCCTGTAGCTGGGCGGTGCGTTTGAGCTAACAACAGCAATATTACGATATTACTGTGACCGTGTTGTCACAACCTTGGTGACTTATGTTCCTCAGCTTGAGATGGGTCTGTTTTAATCAGATGAAGATTAATATGTTTAGTGTATGCTCACTGTGGCTTTATTAATGCAGCTTCTGTTTTTTTTTTAAATATTATAATCCCTCTCCTTCT